CCAGAAACTTTAACACCGTGGCGAGGAAAAGAGTAGGTCGCAGGTGGTACGTCCGTCCCGGTGCACTGTCCCCTGCAGCGTGACGAAAGGCTTATCAGCACTCCATTGTCCCAAGTGCACCCGTCAGGTCGACCTAATTACAACAGTGGGTCGACTTCGATGGGAGAACACCGACGTTTTTGGGACCCTGGAATTCTGACGTAGCCAGGAATCAATTTAAACTTGCTTAATGGATTTTAAATCTTTATATATATACATATTTTATAGATATAAAACAACTCGCAGTCAATTGATTCAGAAAGTGTTTAAAGAACTATTTGAATGTTTTAAAGACAATACCAACTCGCTATAAAATCGTATGCCACGGTAATAGTAGGGTGGGACGTGGTAGTAGCTGGAAGTAGTAAAATATAATATGTTGGTTTCGAAATATCGTGTGAGGATCAATAAGTAAAATATATTTATAGGAATTTGTCACGACGACATTCATTTAAGACTACGGGGACTAATCACTTTAAATTGTTCAAAGCAATAACAATTGAAAATCGTTTTTTAAGAAAGAAACTTAAGTTCTTATTTAGTATTGTCAAATGTATGTTAAAAGCTAAGAAGAGAGGGAGAGAAAGGAGAGAGAAGAGACAGTTGATAGCTAGAGAGATAGAAAGAGAGAGGGAGAGAGTTGAAAGCTACATAGAGAGAGAGAGAGAGAGAGAGAGAGAGAGAGAGAGAGATGAATAGAGAGAGGGTGAAATTGTGCTAAGTAAGAAGAATTATTAATTTATAATTATAATATAAGACAAAATAACATTATTATGTGTATATTAAGTATGAAATCTAAACATTAAGAACCCGTCTCGGATAAATTTCGAAACTTGTCCACCGGTCCGTCAAATTTTACAGTATTGGCAACGCTGATCTAGGTGACTTTGAACGGTTATTATGCCACCAATAACTACGAATGTTATCTTATTACTGCCTCCCATGGTACAGCCCCAGTACAGTGTACACGGATTATGGTCTCAAAACGACTGGTTACACATTTTATTTATGAAGTGTTGTTGAGCGTAACCACTTGTCATATCTCTCTATGTGAAGTTAACTTAAAATGTTACATTGTAGCAATGCGCTCCTGCTACTATAATGTGTTGTCATTTGAATGACTGGTAACCAATGTGATCTGCATAGGCCGATACCCCATGTGATGTACATACGTCCAGACCCCATGTGATGTGCATATGTCCAGAACCCATGTGATGTGCATATGTCCAGACCCCATGTGATGTGCATATGTCCAGACCCCATGTGATGTACATACGGCTAGATCCCATGTGATGTACACATGTCCAGACCCCATGTGATGTACATATGTCCAGACCCCATGTGATGTACATATGTCCAGACCCCATGTGATGTGCATATGTCCAGAACCCATGTGATGTACATATGTCCAGACCCCATGTGATGTGCATATGTCCAGAACCCATGTGATGTGAATATGTCCAGACCCCATGTGATGTACATACGGCTAGATCCCATGTGTTGTACACATGTCCAGACCCCATGTGATGTGCATATGTCCAGACCCCATGTGATGTACATATGTCCAGACCCCATGTGATGTGCATATGTCAAGAACCCATGTGATGTACATATGTCCAGACCCCATGTGATGTGCATATGTCCAGACCCCATGTGATGTGCATATGTCCAGAACCCATGTGATGTGAATATGTCCAGACCCCATGTGATGTACATACGGCTAGATCCCATGTGATGTACACATGTCCAGACCCCATGTGATGTGCATATGTCCAGACCCCATGTGATGTACATATGTCCAGACCCCATGTGATGTGCATATGTCCAGAACCCATGTGATGTACATATGTCCAGACCCCATGTGATTTGCATATGTCTAGACCCCATGTGATGTACATATGTCCAGACCCCATGTGATGTACATATGTCCAGACCCCATGTGATGTGCATATGTCCAGACCCCATGTGATGTACATATGTCCAGACCCCATGTGATGTGAATATGTCCAGACCCCATGTGATGTACATATGTCCAGACCCCATGTGATGTGCATATGTCCAGACCCCATGTGATGTACATACGGCCAGACCCCATGTGATGTACATATGTCCAGACCCCATGTGATGTACATATGTCCAGACCCCATGTGATGTGCATATGTCCAGACCCCATGTGATGTACATATGTCCAGACCCCATGTGATGTACATATGTCCAGACCCCATGTGATGTACATATGTTCAGACCCCATGTGATGTACATATGTCCAGACCCCATGTGATGTACATATGTCCAGACCCCATATGATGTACATACGTCCAGACCCCATGTGATGTGCATATGTCCAGACCCAATGTGATGTACATATGTCCAGACCACATGTGATGTACATACGTTCAGACCCCATTGGATGTGCATATGTCCAGACCCCATGTGATGTACATACGTCCAGACCCCATGTGTGTACATATGTCCAGACCCCATGTGATGTACATATGTCCAGCCCCCATGTGATGTACACACGTCCAGACCCCATGTGATGCACATACGGCCAGACCCCATGTGATGTACATACGTCCAGACCCCATGTGATGTGCATATGTCCAGACCCCATGTGATGTACATATGCCCAGACCCCATATGTGTACATATGTCCAGACCCCATGTGATCTACATATTTTTAGACCTCATGTGATACACAAGGTTCTAGACCCCACGTGATGTTGCCAAGGGTTTTATCTTTAATCACCTGCTGAAACTTCCAGTTAGCTAAATAAATTGATTGATGCTACTCTCATTTTCAATATAGGTCTTAAAGTTTGAATAATATCCATTACCCCATTAGCTTCTATACACAGAGCCGATGCGTCTCTACTACTACATGAGATTGTAAGAGTTCCATCGTTTCTTCAATCAAAAACGAAAATAAGTAAGGACATTAAATATTGAGAAATAATGAAATGAGGTTGGTAATAACGAAATTTTAAAAAAGAATGTTTTTTTTAACGAGTCACAAGTTCAATCATTGGATCAAATATTTTGTTAGCTAAAATTATATGGAATTGTATTAAAGTGAAAGATTATAATTTGTGTGTGCTTTCCATGATCATATCAAAAGCCTTTATTCGATGTAGCAGGGCCGTGGGTTACTTTGCTTCTAAAAAATGGAGTTCTGACTCGAAGAAGGCTGTTTACATGCGATAAAGGTGCGAGTGCCCTCCATATCTGGTATGTTTATACCTGATCCAGGGGCGGAGCGAGGTGATGAATCGGGCCGGACGGTTTTGATGAAATGGCTCCCGAGAATTATTGACCATTTATAACGGAACCAGGTCTTGGCTATAAATGAATGCCAAATTATAATGAAGTAAACGTCTAATAAAATGAGTTAATAACTAAATTATTTTTTGAAAATATTAATGTCGGAAATCAAAATGTTCTCTAAAATAATGAAAAATATACAAAAATCTTTAATTGAGAGATAACCAACACATTAAAAAAAAAATAGTGATAGCTTTGCTCATATGCCTTTAGGATATTTCCATACACCTAGCTAGGATTTAAAAGGACATCAGCAATTTGTCCCTCTGACAGGTTTGCTGTAATCAGTTCAATGTCTGGCTAACAGTTCATCAACATAAATGTCTCCAATGTGTTTCCAGATAAAGTTGATCTCAATGGACTTTCCATAAGCTCATATTCGAGAAGGTTCATTGGCATGAAACTTGAGGAGCAGTTGAAGAACAGGCAAAGAAGCGTAATCCATTTTTAATCCTGAATATGCATCCGAATATTATTTATTGTTTTAATTTCAGAAGCAAAAATCTGAGTTCTTTACGAATCAAAGTTGCATTTGCTTCGGTTAAAAAAGTTTCACGAGAGACGTCATCATGTTCTACTTGTAGCCTACTTGCCACTACATGTAAATCTTTTGCGAAAACTATACTGTCGTAAAATCCTAATCGTCAAAACATCGGATGCAATTATGAAAGTGTATCAATCAATGGCTCATCATCTGCAATTTTTTCCGTCGAGGACTTTGCGTTTTCTAGAACGCAGTGGCGATAACTCTGTGTACGACTTGTTCTTTATCTAGCCGCTTCTGCTTTTTCATTCATACCCTTGACTTGCAACAAATGAGCCATTCTGATTAAAAACATTTTGAAAAAGTACATGTTTGTTTGATAATCCGCAGAGTAAGTAGATGAGGGTGGAGCAGAAATTGCGTCCACTTGTTGTGCTGTGTTTTTGACTGCATCAATTCTTAGTACAAGGATAGACATACTATGAGACAGAAGTAACTTTTGGGACGGGCAGAGAGGAGATGAGTTGAATTTTGATACCAAAATATATTCAAACATCGTGTTATTTTTTTTTTCGAAAGCTTTCGTTAATTGTTCCACAATAATAATTTTATTTTTTCGAATATATATATATATATATATAGCGACTTGTCGCGTTGGCTCGAAAAGCTACCGTAACATCGGGCAATGCCCTGCTTAATCGTCGAATAGCTCGACCCACCTCTGGCCCGAATACATAATTTTAAAGTACAGCAAAGTTGAAAATCTGCTTGTAATGTATTCCTTATGATTATAATTTCTGCCAATTTAAAATGTGAACTTTATTTAACGTACATCAATTGTTTTATGATTGTAAGAACTCTGTTCAATGTAGTTAAGGCTTGGCAAGTAAGCTAATTTTAAAAAAAAAACATTTGTGCTTCTTACACGAGTAATCAAAATAATATAAAATATGCGATTGCAATCATTCATTAAAAGAAATCTATTATTAGATTTCAAATTTTATTCTGAGTCTTTTAACCCATCCGATACGAAAATGTGCTTTGAATTGAAATACTTAATTTATTTGGGTTTCGTAACGAACAGGTTTCATGACCTAAAAATTAGTCCAAAGTTTTTTCTTTATAGCTCTTTTTTCCCACTTGAGACTATCACCATAGTTCATGAAATATTTTATTTAATTAAAACCTGGTCTCTAAATACTGGAGAACGGCGTTATTCAAAGGACTGTGGATATTGTTTCATGTATCCATTGGGTCAGAGGACTGTGGATATTATTTCATATATCCATTGGAGTTAATTGTCATCAGGTTGGTACAGGGAGCCTTACATGTGTTAAGTCGTAATAACAATAGACTTTCAAGTGCCACGAGCGTTGTTTTAAAGTAAGTAAACAGATACACAGTTACAGAACTATATGTATAGTTTATATTTCATGACCTCTCACTAAGCCATCACATTACTACTGAAACATCTGTATATAGTAATATATGAATCGTATTAATGTTCAACCTGTTTTATAATATTTCCTTATTGGGAAAAAAAACTCACAAAAAAATGTTATTAAACCTCCAGATTTTTAGTTTGATATTTTTGTAGCAATTCAAAATTTCTCTAATCTTTTCAGTAATCTTTTCAATCTTCACTAGGTCAAATATCTTTTTTTTAAAAAATGACGGACAGCCAAACGTTTGAGAGTTTGATTGATGAGCTTGGTGGAATGGGAAAGTTTCAGTGGTGCGTGGCTCTCTGCATCGTGTCGTCCCAGTTTACCATGGGCTGGAGCATGCTGCAAATGTCGTTTGCGTCTATGGTTCCAGACTACACATGCATCATTGGGGAAGGCGGCAACGACACGACATTCAACGATACCCTCAATGTGTGTGACGTGAATGGAACCAAGTGCTCAAGATATCTCTTTCGCGGATCTGTCCAAACCGTTACCTCAGAATGGGCCCTGCTTTGTGATTACAAGTGGGTCAAGGCCACCGTCACATCCATACAGATGGCAGGGGTGTTTTTAGGAGCGCTGGTAGCAGGACAGCTTAGTGACTTGTATGGTAGAAAGAAAGCTCTTTATGCCTTTGTAGTGGAACACATCGTATTTAACCTGATAGCGGCTTTCTCTACCTCTTGGATAATGTTTGCAGTGATGAGATTTTTTATAGGAATAGGCATTGGTGCGGTAGTGGTGGTAGTTTTCCCGTTCTCTATGGAGTTTTTGCCATTGAAATGGCGACCATTGTTATCTATACTACCGTCGTGGACTCTGGGAGTCGCATTCTTTTCGGCTGCCGCGCTTCTCTTAAAGAACTGGTCATATCTACATATTGCTTGCGCCATCTGTTCCATTCCGTCTGCTGCCACATTCTTTTTTGTTCCCGAGAGCATCCGATGGCTGGCTGTCCACGGACGCATTCAAGAGGCTGAAGCTGTATGTGGGAGAATCGCTCGCCTTAACGGTAAACCTTTGCCTTCGAAGACGTGCCACATCCTGGAAGAGATCGAACGAAATGAAAAAGAGCAACGTAAAAATGGACGACAGTATTCCTACATTGACATATTCAGGGGCTGGAAGATGGTTCGAGTCAGCCTGAGTCTCTTCTGCTTCTGGTTCACCATGTCCACCATTTTTTACGGCATCTCGTTCGGAGTGTCGAGTTTGTCGGGTAACATGTACTTGAACATATTTCTTCTCGCAATCATTGAGTTACCGCTGCAGACATTGACAATCCTATTCAACAATAAAATCGGGCGGCGGTGGTCCTCCCTAGCGTTTTTCGGATCGTCCGCGTTCATCAGCCTGGGTTGTATCTTGGCTCAGCTTTACGCAAGTGATGAGTCCCGTGGAGCCTGGATCAACGGCCTCAGCCTGACTGAAAAAATGTTGATCGGGGCCGCCTGGTCCTGCGTCATGACGTGGGGCTCCGAGCTCTACCCGACGGTGACCAGAAATCTCGGCTACAGCTTCTCGAACGTCGGGGCCAGGGTCGGAGGGATCGTCTCACCTTTTATAATAAACTTAGAGAAGGACACGATCACCAGATCCTACACGATCATGACCGTTATTTTGGCAGTCAGCACGTTCCTCATGTGCTTTGTTCCTGAAACCAAAGATACGCTTTTGAAGGACAGCTTGGATAAAACATCGGAAGCTGATCCCACGGTCACCAAAGACGATGAGAAGCCACAGGAGCTCAAAGTTATCAATGACGTCGGCTCTAACGGTCATTTGGATAAAAAAGCTCCCCAAGAACTGACCAAGTTTTAAAGCAGTTTATTGGACATCAAACTAAGGACTTACATGTGTGCCCATTTCTTTAATGAAAATTATTTACTGATTTCTATTAATTATGTCAGAAATATCTTTTTTGTTTGTGTGGGAGCGATAAAATGTACTACTTATTAAACTGTCTTTATGCATTTAAAAAAAAAATCTGCTGTAAAATAAACTGTAATTTTTTTTATTACAATGACATGTCATTTTCTTCTGTTAACTTTGGTGTTATTTTCTGGCTCTTGAAGTACCGCATAATTTGTTGTGTGTTGTGTTGTTCGTCCGTCAAAATCGACTAGAACCATGAGCCATCCAGTTTGGGGGGGGGGTGGGTTATGGTGAGCTCGTAGGTGGCTTGCTAGACCGATCCTTGCTTGGAAAAATCTCTGGCATCGTGGAGAGGGAATAGCTGCTGCAGTCGGTGATCTACTATTGCTGTTTCGGGCGAGCCTGCGTGTCTCAGCTGGGGTTATCCTACTGGCTTCATGAGATTTAGCCCCTTTCTTGACAGCTGCTCTCCATCTAGCTCTGTCCTGGGCTGTCTGCACCCATTTAGTAGGGTTGACGCTGAGAGTTCTTTTTGTATATTGTGGTTTCAAATAATTTTGATGACGTTTTTCTTTCAATGGCTCAATTTAAAGTAAAAACTCTTGATAGAATAGTCCTACTCTGCTTAGATATGAGACCCTGAAATCGTACAGCTATCATCAGATGCCATTACCTTTCACAATGAATTTTTATAAACACTAATTAGGTTATGGAGGCAAACCCAAGCAGAAAAAAAAAAAAACAAACAGAGAGAGACGAGCCGCGTTACCCTAACCGGATTGTGAAATCTCCGTCTCTCAACAAGATCAACTAGTAAAAAAAAAAATAACACACACACACAAACCCTGAAATCGTACAGCTATCATCAGATGCCATTACCTTTCACAATGAATTTTTATAAACACTAATTAGGGTATGGAGGCAAACCCAAGCAGAAAAAAAAAAAACAAACAGAGAGAGACGAGCCGCGTTACCCTAACCGGATTGTGAAATCTCCGTCTCTCAACAAGATCAACTAGTAAAAAAAAAAATAACACACACACACACACGTGCGCATACACACTTGAGTGTGCGCGCACACACCCACACACCCAGACATACACAAAGAGACTGAAGGGGATTTTTATATCAGATTTAAAAAAAAAAAAAAGAAAAAGAAATATAGTATGGGATACGTTCACGAAAGAAAACAAAATATTTATCTTTCAGGAGAGAAAAGAACGTAATGGGTTGGTGCATATATTTCCTCTTTCATGTCATTTGTGGTTGTCATGGTTTGGCAAAGTAAACATGGAGGAAGAGTGTTACTTGAATTTTAAAAACTTTATATTTGGGTATGTATTAATTAACCCTTCTTAACTTACTGGAATCGAGTTTAGAAACAATAAACAAAATTTTGGAACCAACCCAAATTGGTAAAAGTAGGCGGCAACCACGGGCAAACTCGTGTTTTACGAAAATTTGAATGTAGCCCATGAAGGAAGCAGTTGTAAGAATTGAATGGTCAGACATTGAGTTTGGCTAATCTGGTCTCAGGCTGTTGATCCGATGACAAAACCTGCCCGAGATAATCTTAGACGTGATAAGACTTTCAATATGTTTTTATTTTAAAAGGTTCTTTCAACATAGTCTAACTAACCTTGGGGATGTGAGCTAATATTGTCATCTCCAGGAAAATTTAAACAAAGAAATTTAATATATAATAATAATAATAATAATAAAGTTTATTTGAAAAACGCGCTTCATCCCCAAAAGCTCGAAGCTCGGTACAAAGTCAACCATATTAAAAAGAGAAAAAAAAACAATCTAAAATTTACCACATTTAAAAACAGACGCAACACTATAAAGCTACATGCGAGCATACCAAGTCAAAGTCTTTCATCCCGTTTCAACCATAAGCTACACACGCCAATATACATTAACTGAAAAAGATGGTAGATAGCGTCATATTTGTTCTCTCTTAAAAGACAAAATTGTTAATGGATTTAAAAAAAAAAAAAAATACCCAGTCAAATATAAAATCTCCAATTTGAAAAGACAAAAGTCACTTTTGATAATTGACAATTCTAAGATGTTATTAGCGGGTTAATTAATGTCACAGATCCAAGTGTTCTAATTCACGTTAAATTTATGTTAAATTTAATTAATTCTTGTTTTTTTTTTATGCTTCATCACATTAGCCATGTAAACTTCAACAAAAATAAATTATTGTTGATGTTAAAGTTAAGGTAAGTCTAAGTGTGAATTATGTAATAAAAGGACAAAATAATTTCAAACGGTTTTTAAATTTTATTTCCAAAAAAATAAAATTGACTGTTTTATAATTTTAAAAAAATAGTCCATTTGTAAGTAATGCATTGTCTCTCCGTTAATTTGATGGTTATTAAATTATTAAAGGGTACATTTTACGTGGGAAAAATTGATGCTGTAAAAAAAAATGTTCTTGATCAAATTGAAAAAAATATGCTCGTCAAATGAGCATCACACATAAAATACTTTCCCTTACGTTATAGGCTTTTCATTACACAATTAATGCATGGATTGGGGGAACAAATGAATACAATTTTTAATACATTAGTTTGTCGTAGAAACATTTCTTGTAATGATACTTTCACTATCATATTTTAATGTTTGCCTCAGCAGCTCACCTTGAAAAAAAAAAGAAGGCTTTTGGGGTAAGATCCGTGAGACATGTCTTTAGTCTTTAAAGTAAGATTCAATTTGTTTTGTTTTGTTTAAAGACACGAGTAGAGACACATGGAAAAGGAGAGGAGTTTTCATGTGGGCGGACATAACTATATCAATTTTTTTTAAATTTTAATTAATTGGATTACATCCCTTAGACTTTTGACCCTCCCTTTGCGCCACTTAATGGTTGTTCGTGTCGGCAAAGGATGATCTGTATGAGCAAATACTATTGGCAATGAAGAGCTAACGAAATTAAAAATAAATAATTTAACCAATGTAGATGAAAATAAATAATTGAACCACTGTAAAATGCTATTATTTTGTTCAAGCTTTCTATGATAAGGACATGGGAGGTTCGCGTGGATTTTCATTTATTTTCAGAGTATATCTTTAGAGAGTAGTTTTTAAGGCCAGTGGTGCTTAAATTTTTTTTTAAATTCTCACTGCCCTTGCTGAATACAGTTGATGAGTTCCTCGCAAGCAGCCTAGTTCAAAGTCTTCAAACTACGTTGAGAAATAGCGATAGAACTTTTGTAAACATTTTGAAATGATTGGGTAAATTAAAAAAAAAAACACTACTAATGTGCTTGGAAAAATTAAACTTATTGAAATTAAATGGATCAGTTAGCCTTGTTGGGGACCTCAGGTGTTCTCAAATCTTTTGCGTCCTATAGCAATGAACTGAAAAAATGGAAATAAGATTATGAATGTAATGTCATAGATTGCGGTGCCCCTGTGAGGACGCCCCGACTCACCATGACGGCATGGGCGCACACGTTGGGAACCACCCCAACCCACCACGATGGCGTGGCGCACACGTTGAGACCCACCCCAACCCAACACGATGGCGTGGCGCACACGTTGAGACCCACCCCAACCCACCACGATGGCGTGGCGCACACGTTGAGACCCATTCAACCCACCACGATGGCGTGGCGCACACGTTGGGAACCACTGCCCTAGACCATTAAAATTGAGAAATCGCAATCACCTGATAGTTGGTTTGGACTCACGTGTTGATGTTCACGTGGCCCAACGTTGGTGGGGACGTTTTTCAGTAGAGGAAAAAGAGGAAAAAGGGTCTGATATGAATTTCGCTGTTTACGTTTCATTGGGTGCAGGTATTTCCTTTTATCTGATAGCTGTGTTCAGTTTTTTTTTAAAATGCACCTAATATTTGCTGTTTTCTATACATTGAAATGAAATGTCCTTTCCAACAAGTGGTGCAGATCGAATTATTAAACGGGAAATCAATTCCAAAATACGATATGAGTCTAAGAATTTCTTTTTTTGTTTTTGTTTTTTAACAACAAGATGTTGATTTTATTTGTGCCACAACTGATGTCATCAACATAACTCGCTTTTGTAACAGTGCACTATTAGTGGGCACCTGTCGCTTGAAACGTCACATTAATTAATACACATTCTGCCCTGACAGGAGTTGCTATGAGTCTAAATATACAATTAAATGGATATGAAAATTGAAAACATTTTGTTAAAACTTGAATTCCAAATAGTAATAATTGTTGTGGCCAAGAAGATTAGGCTTTACTTTACATATAATGACATTGAATATTTGCGTATATTTCATTATTGAATATACGTGTCACATTTTCCACATTCGATGGCAGGACAAGGTGCCTAACACAGAGGTCTTGGAGCGTGCAAAAATGTGTAGCATATTCTCCGCTCTTAGCAAGAGGCGCCTTCGCTGGTTAGGCCATGTGATGAGAATGGAGCAAGGCCATATTCCAAAGAAACTGCTGCATGGAGAGTTGGCGGATGGGACAAGACTTATTTGACGAACACGCCTGAGATTTATGGACGTTTGCAAAAGGAGCAGGAGGGAAGCCAACATTGACATCAACAAATGGGAGATTATTGCTGAACAATGTTCCAGATGGCGAACAGCAGTGTATGAAGGAATAAAAAAAAAGGCAGAAGATTCGCGAAACGAAGACCTTGCAAGAAAAAGAAGAATGCAAAAAAGCCAAATCTAATTAGGAGTCAATATTTTCCTGTCAGAAACGCAGCTGAGATCGCCTTTCCAGGAGCGGCCTAGTGAGCCATTCGTTGAAGTTACCATAGCTACTCCATCATCTCGCGAAGACGTAAGGATGCCATATATTTAAGTTCTGAAATGAAGAAAACAAAAGAGCTTGCGGTGAATATATTTAATTACAGTATTCAATTATATTTCTTTAATAGAAAGTAGCGTTGTATTTAACCATATTCTATTTGCTATCAGTGATCTTGTATTTAACAATACTCTATTTGCTATCAGTGTTGTTGAGTTTAACCATAGTCTATTTGCTATCAGTGTTGTCAGAGAGTTCTCTTTGAAATGATTACATGGCGTTTTGCTGATTGTTTTGGAGATTTTTGTTGTTGATATGAATGAATCCTGTTTTATTGATTGTCTTGTGGAGTAATATTGTTTGATACAATTGTTGATTGTTTTGTTAGGAAATAACCCTAGGTTTGTATGGCGTGTAGTTGATTGTTTTATCACTGACTTTTCGTTGGTATGATTGTATCGTGTGTGGTTCATTGTTTTGCTTACATTTTATAATGTGGGCCTTTCTTTGATATACATTTGTGTATTGCTCTATTAAAGAATTAGAAAAAGACACGTGTCTAATAGTTATAGATAAATTGCAGTTAAGAAGTGTTTTGTTTTTTTTTTGTTGTTGTTTCTTTTGCAATCAGTAAATTAAGGAACCGCCAATTGTAAATATATACAAAGAACCTAAAATGATGAGATCGACAAACGAATTTCCAAAGCAAATTTTGCAATCGGAAGGTTCCGTGGAAGTGTCTTGGAGCGAAGGGGTCTCATTCTGGTCACTAAGCCTAAAGTATATAGGGAAATTGTATTAAAATACCTCCTACATGTTAGCGAGACGTGGAAAGTGTACATAAGACACACTCGACAACTAAACCATCTTCACCTACGCTCTCGACGTAAACTTCTTGGCATAAGGTGGCAGGACAAAGTCCCTGATACAGAATTTCTACATCAGGCTGAATTGGTCAGCATCCACACGCCACTACTACAAAACAAAAAAAAAAGGTACACCAAATGGACAGGGCATGTTGCGAGAGTGTCAGACTTCCTAAGTGAATATTGTTTTATGAACGCTACAGAGGGAAACGTACAGCTAGTGGGCATTAAAAAAAAACGTTTTAAGGAATGCCTAAAAAACTTGACTCGAATCCATTGACATCGACTTTAATTTGTGGGAAACACTTTCTATGTATTGAACAAGCTGGTGAGGAAAACTGCTTGTTGGAGCACAATCTTCATACAACAAATGCACCGAATCGACTCCAATCCAAATAGGACCCAAAACAACGTGTGACCTATACTTGCTTGAAAGCTTTGCAGGCACAAAGAGGACTGGCAAGCCACCTGCACACTCCCCGTTAAATATGGCCTTGATTAACGTGGCATGCAAAGGAGGAAACAAAATATTTACATAAAATAGGGTGAGATTTTTTTTATTTATCGAAATGATGGAAGTTTAATTTTATTTTGATTCATCGTACTCTCTTTTTTTACAGTCTTGGAAATCCTTGTTTAAGTTTTTCGTTGTTCCTCAAAATTAGTCTGTAGCAACACTTTAGTCACATAAGTGTGCGGTATGAATACCTGTTGAGTTCCTGAGAGTGAGTTGTAAATTTTGAACAGAGTTTGCCTTTTTGTTTCAAATGAGTTCCTTTTGTGTGTGTGTGTGTCTTTTCCACGTGATTATGGACACTCTTAATGTCTGCAGGCGATTTGTCGAGCACCCTCTTGCTACAAATGCTCGACATAAATATGAAAACCCTTTGAAATCTATTCAAGAATAATGGAGATTAACCTTAAACCATCAACATTAACTGCCTCCGCAATGATGACTGTTGCCAAAGAAGCCCCAGATTAGCGGGACCTAAATAGAGAAAATATGATTCGGAGATGTTGCAAACGATAAACCGTCAAATAACAATAATGTATGACAGAAGTCCAATCCTCATCGACATCTGGCGATTAAATTGAGCCATCATGATGGACTTAGCAGTCAGGTTCCATCATGCCTGACTTAGCAGTCAGGTTACGGGTGGTGAGATTTCTTCCCCCCCCCTCCTCTCCCAACCGCCCCTTGTTTATGGAAACACTCGGTGTAACACGTGTTTAACATAGCGTAACACACATGCTGGCTGCGGCATTCGTGTTTGATACCCAGTAGTATCCATACATTATAAGTTGTGATCGTTTGGTGCAGAAGTCGATGATTTCAGCCACACGACGTGTTGGCCTTCTGTTCCTCCTGACCCATCTGTATGTGACGCTACACTGCAGGTAAGAACAATTGGTTTCAGATAACTGCGATGGTCGATTATGTTTGTATTCCAATCCTTTAAATACGATAGCAAGGGTTGATTCTTAAAAATAAATTTAAAAATATAATAATCTGAATTGTCACTATGTCATCTTCTCTGTGCATTATCATCGTTCTTTTTTTTTTTAATTTATATAAATACTGACAACATGTCAGATGATTCTCAATATAGTTTGTACTCAAAATTATTTAATAACATTTGCTAATTTCGAGAGTTGAGAAAATAAAAGTACAAACATGGGTGCCCATTTAAAAAAAAAAAATCCCACTGCACTGTGGTACAAAAATGTTTAATCATAGCCGGCGCCCTCAATCAGTCATGCTACGCTAACAAATGAGTTTGACGGCGCCCTCAATCAGTCATGCTACCCTTACAATGAGGTTGACCGCGCCCTCAATCAGTCATGCTACCCTTACAATGAGGTTGACCGCGCCCTCAATCAGTCATGGTACGCTTACAAATGAGGTTGACCGCGCCCTCAATCAGTCATGGTACGCTTACAAATGAGGTTGACGGTGCCTTAAATCAGTCATGGTACGCTTACAAATGAGGTTGACGGCGCCCTCAATCAGTCATGCTACGCTTACAAATGAGTTTGACGGCACCCTCAATCAGTCATGCTACCCTTACAATGAAGTTGACCGCGCCCTCAATCAGTCATGATACCCTTACAATGAGGTTGACCGCGCCCTCAATCAGTCATGGTACGCTTACAAATGAGGTTGACGGCGCCTTAAATCAGTCATGCTACGCTTACAAATGAGGTTCACGGCGCCCTCAATCAGTCACGCTACCCTTACAATGAGGTTGACCGCGCCCTCAATCAGTCACGCTACACTAACAGCCTCAAATTTAATACGATCACTTGACATATCAGGCTCTACGGCTGAGAGTTGAAATCATACATTTAAAAAAAATGTATTTTTACGAATATAATTCAAATGCGAGGCTCTTGAAGGACAGGTGAAGTGTAATAACTATGATTACACGTACATTGAATAACATTTCCTTTGCTTCAAAACAGCTTTATCGTCAACATTCATTTTATTTAGCCTTTGAGTGTTAAGTTTTTTTTTAAACTGTTTTTTTTTTGTGTATTTGTAAAATGACTTAAGCATTTCTCGCTGTTTAAATATGTATGTAGCTGTAAATAATGTTAAAAAAACAATAAATCATGTTCATGGAAATCCATCATATCAGAGTTGTTGTCTTTTGTAAGTTTAAACCGCGCACTAATTAAACTACATGTTTACAACAAGACACAACACATTATAAGGTATGATACTTCTTAACATTTCGTAAACCACATCCTTGTTGACTGACGTCGTCACCATGCGTGCTTCGCTAGTCCCTGAGATAGTCCAACAATCAAAAGATTTATTATCACTTGCAAACACAATTTAGAGTAAAGTAAATGCCGTGTCGAAAGCAAGCATGGATCGCAGGGAGATCGCACCAGTCTTCTTTCACTCGATTCGGCCTCGCCACAAAGAAAGTAATTTTAAACTGAACAAAATAAATATTTTATAAAATGCAATTTGTTTAATTTTTACCTACAAACCCCAGAATTTGTAGGGATAACCATATTTTATCTTTCGTAACAAATTGATGTTTTATTTTTTTTATAAAAAAACATCGCAGGTGAACAAGAAATATATCTATGCAGAACAACATTTATTAAGCTATAAAGAATCATCAATTATTGTTTTTAAATCATAAGGCTTATTAAAAACTAGAAATTTAAAAATACTTTAACGCCAGTGATCATTGCTTTTTCGATTTCAGCCAAGAAGTCAAGTAATCCACGGTGATGAAGATGGAGACAATTGAAGATATAATAGAGGAGCTTGGTGGAATGGGAAAGTTTCAATGGCTGGTGACGATATGTATAGCCTCGGCCCAGTTCACCATGGGCTGGAGCATGCTGCAAATGTCGTTTGCGTCCATGGTTCCAGACTACACATGCATCGTTGATGGTGGGGAAAATGACACGACATTTAATGACACCCTCAATGTGTGTCACATAAATGGAACAGAATGTTCCAGATATCTGTTCCCCGGTTCCGTCCGAACCGCCGCCTCAGAATGGGGCCTTGTTTGTGATCTTAAATGGGTCAAGGCAACGGTCACATCCATACAGATGGCAGGGGTATTTCTAGGAGCGTTGATTTCAGGACAGATAAGTGATTTATTTGGAAGAAGGAAAACCCTTTACTCATTTGTCCTAGCGCATATCCTTTTAAATGGGATAGCGGCTTTCTCTGCGTCTTGGATCATGTTTGCTGTAATGAGGTTTTTCATCGGTATAAGCATTGGAGCAATCCTTGTCGTGGTATTCCCTTTCTCTATAGAATTTTTACCAATTAAATGGCGCCAATCTTAGTCGCTCTTCCTTTTTGGACATTTGGAGTCGCAGGTTTTTCAGCTGCTGCGCTAGTCTTAAAGGACTGGTCTTATGTACATATTGCTTGCGCTATTTGTTCCCTTCCTTCTGCTGCTGCATTCTTTTTTGTTCCTGAGAGCATCCGATGGCTGGCGGTCCACGGACGTACTATGGAAGCCGAAGCTGTATTTGGAAGAATAGCTCGCATGAATTCCAAACCACTACATGCTGATACGCTTCGTGTCCTGGAAGACATCGCTCGGAAAGAAAAAGAACTGCGAAAAAATGGACGTAACTATTCATATGTTGACATCTTCCGTGGCATGAAATTAACTCAAGCAAGTCTCAGTCTCTTTTTCTTCTGGTTTACGATGTCCTCGATTTACTACGGCATATCATTCGGGGTATCAACCTTGTCCGGTAACATATATTTAAATATATGTCTTCTTGGACTTTTGGAGCTTCCAGCACAGATTTTGGCATTTTTTATTTGCAACAAAATTGGACGCAGAAGATCTTCGTTTTTGTTTTTTGGTTTATCGACGCTAATCAGTCTTGGATGTATCATAACTCATCACATCGCAAGCGATGAATCTCGTGGCGCTTGGATCAACGGACTTAGCATGACTGAAAAAATGTTGATTGGCGCCGTCTGGTCTTGCGTCCAGACGTGGGCACCGGAGCTGTTTCCAACGGTGACGAGAAACCTGGGTTACAGTTTCTCAAACCTCGGGGCCAGGTTCGGTGGCATCCTGGCGCCATTCATCATCAATTTGGATAAGGAGATGGCCAGCATGTCCTACATCATAATGACCAGCATTTTGGGTTTCAGCTCTCTCCTTGTCGTTTTTCTACCCGAGACGAGAGGTTTGGTTTTGAAAAACAGCATTGATAAAACTGCGCACATGAGGAAGTTCGGCTTTGGTGACCAGACGGACATAATTCATTGCAAGGATAAAGCTGCTGGAAACGGAGATGAAAAACATGCCTACGATAAACTTATGTCTATAAATGACTCTAGGATATAGAAACTGAATATTTGCTCTAGTTTGTTTGTTTTCTTCATTTTAATTGAACATTTTATTTACATTTTAAGTTACTTATTAGAATTCTTAGAATTGAATCACTCAAATCCACATGTATTTTTTTTACATTATGGAATATGTTTACATTTCCCTCTATCCATCCATCCATCAATCGATGGGGTGCAACAGCCCTTGTAGTGCTTTAGCGTACCTCACCACTTCCTCCCACACAGACGATCTATCCACCCCCGTAGTGCTACAGCCCGTGTAGGCTTTGAGCTGCCTCACCACATCCTTCTACTCAGACCATCCCTCCATCACGTTGCCCTATAGCTGCTGTATGTCTTTGGTCTTCCTTATCACATTCTTTCACTCAGACCTAACTGATGCTTTTCTTTTCATGCTTGGAATCCTTTGCTGCTGAAGATATTTTTTCACATTGTCTCGCTATCTCAGCCTAGGTCTGTCTTTGAGTCTTTTTCCTCTGTCGTTTTGATGCGGTATCCTCTTCACTCCTCTGTCATTCGGCATTCTTTTTTTAACTGAACACTAAGTAAAAATCTCATTTATAAAATCCCTGCCTGCTGCAACATGATTATGTGAGTGCCTTGGGTAGCTAGGCAATTCTACGCTTATATATTATATATACTTATAATTATGTAAATTAAAATTCTTTGCTTTAAATTAGAATTGTTTTTTAATTCAAACTATTAAGTATGTTTAATACAATTTGATGAAAATTTTTTTGTTAAAAATTTTGAGTTGTTGCAACGGTAGATGATAATTTTTAATATTAAAGTGTTTGTGAATGAGTTGAATACATTTAAAGAAACAAAAAAAAACAAACTTAATGCATGTTATATTATTTTAATCATGAAATCATTTGTCTTGTTTTTACATACAATTTACATGAAAATACGATTTTATACTTGAAAGAAGATGTATTTACATACTTAAAACCTAATAAGTACAAATCTTGGTATACCAAACTGAAATAGCATTTTCAGAAGTGAAATTTTCCTTCGAAATTAACAAATGAAATCAAAACCTAGAAGATTCCATAGGAAGAGAAATGTACAAATACAACAATGCAGACTAAAAAAAAAAAAAACATTTATTGTTTATACATAAAACGAAACGAAACATAAAACTTTCAAAATGGAATTTTTCGATTTGACCAAAAGGTCACACAGAGCATTTTTATTCTAGGGCCTGATGGATTTAATGTGGATCAGATCAATACCACACAAATATATTTTTTTTTAAAATCTCCGTAACAAAATCTTGGTATACCAAACTGAAATAGCATTTTCAGAAGTGAAATTTTCCTTCAAAAATAACAAATGAAATCAAAACCTAGAAGATTCCATAGGAAGAAAAATGTACAAATACAACAATGCAGACTAAAAAAAAAAAAAACATTTATTGTTTATACATAAAACGAAACGAAACATAAAACTTTCAAACTGGAATTTTTCGATTTGACCAAAAGGTCACACAGAGCATTGTTATTCTAGGGCCTGATGGATGTAATGTGGATCAGATCAATACCACACAAATATATTTTTTTTTAAAATCTCCGTAACCAAACCTGCATCAAATAGCCTGGAAATGAGTGTTCGATAGCCACGAAAACTAAAATTCGTGCTGTAAATGGATTTATTAAAAACAATTATAGTATGTAAACGTTTTAATTTTACTGTTATTTAAAGCCGATCAAATAAATAGGCGAATATAAAAATATATATAATCATTCAAATGTAAGTACTTAATATAATAGAATCAAGTTAATTTTATTACGATAATTGAATAATTCATTTGTTTTTTAAGTATTTTATCTGAATTGGAGAGTTAAGACATTTTTTAAACAACTTTGACAGCGAATTACGATATAAAATTTTCGTGTTTGATCAATATTTGACAGTTCAAATATGGTACACCCCGGTAATTGGTATAGATATAGTTTCAAAACAAATGAAATAATCTATTGCTATCGAACACAAGCGCATTTCAGTGTGAGTAAAGAGGATGTATAAATGTATATATTACTCAATGAATAACAAAATATTAAACTCCAATGATAGTGTCATGTCGATTAAAAGAAGATTTCAAAAAGCAACACGCCCATTAATTTTAATGACGTTAAAGTTAAATATTTAAACATAGATGCATGTTATTTTTCCCCTTTATTTCACGTAAATGTAAGTCGGGGAGAGAATAAATTGTGGTTAAGATTTTCTTTAAATATAAGGCATTTTTTACCATTTTGCGCAAAATACGGTTTAGGACTTTTAGGCAGTGGTCCCCAAATGGCGGTCCGTGGAACTTTACCGGTCCGCAAGCCTAACGCTGCCGGTCCCCATAACATAAATATTAATTGTCAAATAGAAGTAAAAGTATAAAAATAAATCATGCATGGGTCCCTGGTAAAATTTCGAAACTTTTTTCACCGGTCCGACAAACTTACACATTTGGGAACCACTGCTTTAGGGTAATGAATAATTTTTATGAGATTAACATTAGTTTTTTTTAAACACGTGCAAATTGGTTAATATATTATTTTATAGGTAAAAGAATTCTTTTTTTTTTTTTTTTAAATAAACCATTTCCCGATAATATAGTTCTGGGACGAGGGAGAAGTTGAGTTGATTTCTAATGAAGTTGGGTTGATTTCTAATGAAGTTGGGTTGATTTCTAATTAAGTTGGGTTGATTTCAAATGAAGTTGGGTTGATTTCTAATGAAGTTGGGTTGATTTCTAATGAAGTTGGGTTGATTTCAAATGAAGTTGGGTTGATTTCTAATGAAGTTGGGTTGATTTCTAATGAAGTTGGGTTGATTTCTAATGAAGATACCAATATATAAAAACCCGTTTATGTTATAGATATTTAAATTTCAAATAGAACATAGTTGTTTTTTTTAAAAATCTTTTATTATATTGAAGTAAAAGTATTCTCAATATTCTCCAATTATGTTATAAAAAATGATAAAAGTGTTATTTACTATTTCCTAAATATACATTTTAAGGGCGTTGAAAAATGTCAATATTTATTTCCTTGGGGATACAATACATCAAACACAATTCAGTTAAATATGTAAAAATTTTATATTTAGATGTTGAGACTTCGGAATAGCAGGCAGGAAGTAGCGCATTACAACTTCCATCATTGTATCGGTAACACCAGGTCATGTCTTCTAGTATCTTATGCTGAGTTAAACTTTTTAAATTCACGCATAAAAATAAATGTGTAACCTTTTCTATCGGAATTCAGTCTACTACCATCGCTTTAAAACATATAATTGATCCGCGCTGTAATAGCCAGCCTGCCTGGCACGTTGAGCATTGAATGCCTCGACGAGTGATATTCTAAGACATTCTCCCGTCTATGCATACTGATGCGTTTGAGCTATTCTTTCATATCGACACGCATCACAGGACACGGCGTGCTAGTCACTCTGTACCAAGTTGTATGTGGCCAAGCTGTACAGCATCATAGCACGCAGCGTGCTAGAGACTAATGTCCCCAAGTTGTATGGCCGCGTTGTACGACCATTTCACAGGACGGCATTTCAGTCTCACTGAGCACATGCAGGCGACCAGCCGTCAATCAACACCCCTAGTATTAGGCCTGGATTGACTGCAAGTCACTGTTATGTTTTTTTTCGTGTTTGAATCATTTTCTCCTTTTTTTAAAAAAAAAATACAGAGTACGGTGTGCTGGCGACTTTTTAGGTGGCACCAATCTCGTCCTGCACCCACGCCCTATCTAAATGTTGAGTGTTTTGTTGTATATTTAGGATGTTCGCACCTCGTCTTCTAATGTAAACCGATTCGGTTCCAATCGACGCATGCAACACCACGCAAACGGTGTATGTTTGTTAGTCTTTATTATACAAACGCTACACAAGTTTTACTTCATATATCCCTGCATTATTTTCAGGATATCTGGGATAGTAGAAATCCAAAAAGGTAATTACGATGTTCCTATAACCTGTAACACAGGGGTCGGGAACCTATGGCTCGCGAGCCAGATGTGGCTCTATTGATGGCTGCATCTGGCTCGCAGAAAAATTTTCAATTATAAAAAAGTCGCATTAATGATAAGAAATGTTCATTATTGATTAGCAACAGCATAAAAATGTTATTAAAAAGAATTCAGAGACATAATTATTGCATTTTTAGAGTTGAAATTACACAAAATGCACACATTTAATTGAATTTTTAGTTTTAAAGATAATGTATGGCTCTCACAGAATTACTTTTCAAAATATGCGGTGTCCATGGCTCTCTCAGACAAAAAGGTTCCGACCCCTGCTCTAATAAATTTTAAAATGTTCACAGGAAAAGGGTGCAGCTTTTAAACTATTTTAAAAACCTAGGCAATAACGATAAAGATTTTATAAAATTCATCACAGACAACAGATGTAGACCCATTTGCCAAATGTTAACATTAAAAGAAACCTCGGATAGGACCATGGGTGCCGCAGGGGGGGGGGCAAGGGGGCACTTACCCTCCTCGCCCCCTGGATTGATTGGATAAAAATTTTTAGAAAAAATTAACAAAAAATGTATTAAAGTAAAGAGAAAATAAAGAGAAAGTAACTAAGCTGATGTGCTGTCCGTTCGTTCACCATACAAATACGCTACAGTAAATTAAAACTACATTAAAACATTACTAAAAATGTTTGCCCCCCCCCCTAGAAAGTTAATCGATTTTTCTTGCCCCCCCCCTTGAAAGTTTTCTGCGGGCGCCCATGGATTAGGACACGTCCAACCATGTCAAGTGCCGGCTAGGCATAAAATAAAGGGGGATAACCTTATAAATTAAATAAACTATTTCTATATAAATGGTGTTGGCTCCCTTG